TTTGTGGCTCCTGCGCTAACGAGCCTCAAACCCCCTCAGGGCAGGCGCCTGTTCTTATTCATCCTAGTACGCCAGGGCCTGGCACAAAATGGGCCCCTCAGCTCCTGTTCGCTGAGCGCGTTGCCCCTTGCCATGCCAGCCGACGTCGGCACTGTTCCGTGCCATGCTCAGATCCGACATGGACCTGGTTAGGGGGAAGGTGCCCGGAAAACAGTAGCCCCAGATGGCCATCACAGGAGCAGGGCCTTGGGCTGTGGGATGCGGCTTAGGTCCCTGCGTAGGAAGCCTCCGGTGGAAACAGCCCCCTGCAGGAGAACATGGCAGGCGGGAACTTCACCCCAGAAGAGCCCAGGGTGTATGATTTGGGCCTAGTGCTTAGGGTTTTATTTTCTTAGACTTGTCTTGATGTTACGATCACCTTTGTCTTCTGTGCAGGCTGGTCGATGACCGCTGTGTTGTGCAGCCGGAAGCTGGGGACCTGAACAATCCACCCAAGAAATTCAGGGGTAAGTTGGCGGTCCTCTTGGAGTGGGCAGCCGCAACAATTCATGAAGTGTGTTGCTCTGCATGGTTTTTTGTTTTGTTGTTTTTTTAAAGCAATTGTAAGTTTATTTACTTATGTATTTTTTTTTTAAGGTATGATTTCAATTCCGAGCTTTATGACCTCTTGAAAATGCCGAAGTTCGGTGTCAGGATTGAATGACTTATTAGGCCCTTAATTTGTCTGTTGCGTACACGTCATAAGCGCTGCTTCAGTTTAACGCCATACGTGTGTGCGGCTGTGTCTTTAACCAAGTAGTTATTTATGGATCTCGTCACAGGAAGCCTATGTTAGCTCAGCAGATCTTACTGCCCCTGTGGGGACTCTGATGCTCTCAGATATCTTACCCTGGAGCATGTTCTTTATCGCACTTTCTTTTTGAGTAAAAGACGCAGGCAGGACAGCCTGCCTCCCAGGGCTGCCTTCCTTCCTAGGCCTCTTGTATGTGGGGTCTTCCTTGGAAGGCACCCGAGTTTATTCCAGGAGGTGTTGAAAATACAGCTGGTATCTTC